CAGCAGAAAAACTGTTATTTTTCATGCCAACACGTAAAATTCAATTTTTACACGAATATACAGTCATTTATGAGCACGTTACGGGCCACCAACTGTAGTAGTATGTCATATATGGATATATATTCATACTTTTTCACGAGTTCCTCATCTTTCTGACTGTGTAAATGTCGTGCATTGAATTTAACAGAAATGTAACGAGAGACGTTATTATCTTTGACCCATCAAAATGAATGCGGTCATTTATTTTCAGAATCAAAGTTTAACATCAAACATTTACATTAATTTGGCAAAATATGAAAATAATAACAGACAAGTTTCACAGATAATGGACTTCAATCACACGGCGGTGATCGAGGACTTTGCTTCAGATATTTCTAAAATATCTGTACTGATTTTAAGAGAAAGCAGAGTTTAAGATGGAAATGGAGATTTATCTTACAGAGAGATTTGTGAGGGAATTAATCTGTTTGACCAGAACGTGCACGCTCCATCAGATCTCAGCTTGCCCACGGTACACTTGGTCGAAGTGGACTGTTACCTGGTTGATGATATATCAGCGTCGGTATAGGATCCTCCTTTGACTCTTTCAGCGTCTCCGTTGAGAGCAGCTGAAATCCTTCGAGAGTCGTGCGAGGTTGTTCAAACAGAAGTTATAATCCCAAAACGTCTCTGGATCATCCTGAACGCGTTTGCATCCAAGAACTCTGAACTCCTTTTATCTCCTTAGCATTCTCTATCAGACTTCCGACATCAGACTCTGTGCACTCTCTCAAGAACCGGGAAGTTGCCACATTTTAAGTGAGTTGACTTCCGGGTCAATTTAGAGCTTTCTGATTCGTGGATAGACCAGAATAGAGGTGTGGTTTGTGATGTAAGATGTTATCAAATTCGAGGTCAGAGAATGAGATTGTTTACAACATACAGAAAAGATTATTGGAGAAAAAGCAGACTTCGTGGAGTCAAACTCTTCTGTATCTTCTGTAAAGATTAAACATGACATTTCTTCTCAGTAAACATTTTAGTTGACCGAGACGCGACCTTTAACATACTTACAAACTTGCTCATTGAAGACAGAAAATCAAGAAATGCATATTAACCTGATTTCTTCTTTGAATGAGGAATAAAAATCATTACTTACTGTTTATGTAAAATAAAAATGAGTAGTTCTCTTCAACCTGTAAACATTGAGTGAACTAACACAATTTGATTATCAAACATTTGTAAAATAGTAATGATCATAGAGGATTGTTTTTTCTACTTGATTAATTCAAGAAAGAAAGTCTCCAGATGGTTCAAACTGTATTTCTGGATGCAGATCAATGAAATAACAGTCTCTGTTCATCTGATCAGATTTGAGGTCAGATCAGGTTCACTACACTGTGTACATAATTTCGCTCCACCACATGAGGTGCAAATGACAATAAAGAGACTCTGACTCTGATGTTATGATCCACACTAGGGCTGCAACTACTGATTATTTCAATAATTGATTCATCAGCCGATTATTTTTTCAATGAATCGGGGGGGGGGGGGGGGGGGGGTTAATTTCCACCCCTTTATTCCAAAATTGAACATTTGACTGACATAGCAATTCACACAAAAAACGGGTTGCTATTTGACTATTCTGTTAGTAAAATATTGAATAATAAAAAAAAGTTAGTCAAATAGCTTAAAAAAATAAATGTACACAAAAATATATACAAATGTGTCTTTATACCTGCACAATATGTAGCTACTTTGTAAAATGTGTCCTTGAGGAAGAGTGTAACCTGGATTAAAAGTGTGGATTATTGTAACCTGGATTAAAAGT